GTCATCTCTCGGAGGAATAAGTCCAGTCATTACCCGAAGGCGATTGTGGATACTAACAATCGAAACGCTGTGAAGTGATTTGGCTTGGAATCTCTCAACTTTTTATTTTTTATTTTTTGTTCAATTGTTTTATTTTTACTTGTATTTCATTTTACTATTATTTCATTTCAGGTTTTTTACTCATTATAATTATTTAGCTATTCAGCTATTCTTTTTTATTAGTTCTTTCAGGGATTTCAAATCATTTTATATATTATCAGACTATGGAAGTCCAGACTGATGAAATTCATAATCTGTTTGAGAAAAAATCTGTTTTTCCGGTAATCAGCTGTCATCAATAACGTTCGCATGATTCGAGATTTTTTGTATCGTTAGATTTATTCGGAAGTAGACACTGATATCAAGTTTTGTTTTGACCGTGATGAAAATTATCGGAAAAAGCAATAGTCATGTGACTTGCGTTATCTGTAGGATTTCAATAAAAAACCCAAATAGAGATTATTTCTGGAAATATTGAAATAAGTAAATCGAAAAATATTCCTAAATGCAGAGCATTGTATGAAAAGTTCAGCAAAAACGAGATGATTTTAATTTTTTCGCCATTTCATATAACTGACACTGATATTGCAGAATAAAACTAAACGCTGTCTGTCTATATACAATTTTTCAGTTGACACATTCTCTTTGAAGAATCGCCATAACGAATATGTGTTTTTCTGCAGAATCCGATAAGGGCTATTGAAATTCAGTCACATGTTACACAAAAATTGTTTCTTATTGATGTTATATAACTTCATATATCCGAAGTCTGTTGAAAAAATAAGGTGAATTTTCATTTTGCTCTAAAACTTTTCATTAATTCATCAATTTTCATTCAGTCTCCTTCAAAGTAAACCAAAGCAGTTCTGATATAGACTTTTTGGTGTGTCCTTGGGCTATCTCAGCTATTCGGGTTTCATCTACTCAATGGTCACAAAACTCCGCCCTTTCATGAGTACCTTTCATTTAGGCTGAATAAAAAAATTAAAGGAGCACAAATCTGGCCAATACGATGGCTAAGACATGATTACGGTGTGGTTTCCTTCATATTGCTTATAGCCAGCAGCGCATAACTTCAAGATAATATTCCTTATTGATAGTACCCTGTGGCAAGAACTATGCACTGTGCCACTGTTATCGAAGAAAACAATGAGCAAAACCTTGACGTTTGACTGAACTTGACGGGGATTTTCTGGTCTTGGCGCTCCTGGGCTATTCCATTGGGACGATTGGACTATTCCATTGGAACAGTTTCAATGTCATAACCGTATACCCATGATTCGTAACCAGTTATGACCCTTTTGAGCAAATCTGAATCGCAGTTGACGTTATTCAACAATTCTTAAGCGATGCTCATGTGACGGTTTTTTTGGTCAAAATGTAGCAATTATGGAACGAACTTCATAATTCATGCTCAAAACATCCTCAACAACTTCTCTAATAGTAAATTGCCGATTCACTGTTGAAGAAAACTTTTTTTCTAAACGATAAATAACCTCCGTTTGTCAATACTTTTGTGAATCCTCTGGAGAAAGTTTCAAGGTGTATGAATACCCTGTAGAAAAGGCTGTCATGAGAGAAGTGTTGATGTCAGTTGAAACATCTACTGTAGTTTAGCATATCCGATTATTAAGAGAATATAACGTGTGATTCCTAACACGAGTTGGACGATAGCAAGTGAAAATTGATCGTTCAGCCCGCGGCTTGAACCACTGACCGACACGGCGGTCGATTTGAGTGAGTCGAACCGTCAAACCGACCGTCTCCCGACAAACATTTTTATCTGAACAGTTAGGCAACGCGAAAGGGTTAATTGTGGCTCACACCTATTCACGACTCTGCCGAACTCTAAAAACCTGATTCAGTTCCCAGCAGGGCAGGCAAAAAGTTCCTGCTCTACTATTTCAGCATTTTCCACACAGTTTCGACAGTCCGAGTCTCTGCATGTGATGATTCAAATGACAGTAACCTGTAGAAAGGCCTGTTAGACATTGTATTTCATCCCTACTGTAGTCCAACAAGTCTTCTTGCCATCCAGGCATTCAATATTTGTTTGGCAAAGCCTAAAACGATGCCAATGGCAGGTTCTAGTCCGATGAAGCTGCTTGCAGCACCCTCCTCTGCATTCTCCTCTGCAGTCAACAGCTTCATTGCCTTCCAGGCCAGTATGGCCAGGAATCCAGACCAGAGACAATCTGTTGAGTCTTCGTATCGAAAAGAGTCGTTTTTGGCAATTTGCTGCCAATTTAGAAGTTGCTCGGTAGGAGCCAAGAGCTTCCAACGCCACTTGACTCCCCGAGAATATTTTTATTGACTTATGTATGAGGTTGGATTCTTCCAATATCTCCGCACACAATTCAGTAGCGTAAATTTCCGCTTGAAATACAGTCGCATAGGTTCCTAGGCAGGTTGATATCTCTGTCCTGGGTCTCTGCGACTGAAAACACCTGCATCGGAACGGAAAGGTGTTTTTGATCCATCTATGAACCAAAAACTATCTGCTCTCAATATTTCCTTCTCCCGTTGGACAGTTATATATGTTTATCAAAAGTCATCATCAGTTTAATGAAAAAATATCTTTTTAATGTTGGATAGAAAATTCTGGATATGAAGAAAACACGTCACAAAATATCGTTGGCAATCTACCAGCGAAATATTATAACTTTTTCATTAGCGTCAGGTGCCTAACACCGCACTTAATATCGCTTATAAGTTTGCCGAGAGGCTTGCATTTGCGCCTTTTTCGATCCAGAGTCATATATTTAATTTCGAAGTACCTCAAGTGAGAATTTCCACCTTGATAAGTCTAGTTGCTATCGGTTATTTCCGAATGAGTCAACAACGACGTTATTTTCGCCAGAGGTCTATCGAACTCTCAAGAATGTCTGTATTTATTTGAAACTTAGGGAACGATTATGAAACTTGACGTTCCGTAGTTTAGAAGAACGTTTGCGAAGTGACAGTTGATCTTTTCCAAGAGTTTCCATCTTTTGTGGAAAAGGAACTTGCAGTTGCTTCATTCCACCCAGAAAGTATATCAAAAATATATAAAACCCATATTTATGGGTCAATTTGAGAAAAAAACTCTATAACAATATATTATGTTCTGAAAATCTCAACTTTTCTGATACCTTCATTACGATATTAGATATTTCGTGGTACAAAGCATTTATGCACTAAAAAGCATTCTCTACTTTACCACAGAATCATTATTAATTACTGAAAATGTATTCACTGATGAAGCTAATTTTGCCAAAAACTATGTCCTAAACTTCAACAATCATCATGAATTAGGCCAAAAATAAATATGATAAGCAGGAAATTCAAAAAGAAGTCATTTATTCAAACGGTCGAATAACCGAATACTTATGATTCACTGTTTTGAACCTTTGGTATAGTAATGAATATTACTGGAGTTCTTTCCCAACACCAAATCGTTATTTTTAACATATCGACACGTGTTTCGATCACCAAGATTAAAACTTCCTCTTTTTCTTTCTTCTTTCTCTTTGAAGATGATCAGTTGGTGATCGAAACACGTGTCGAGGTGTTAAAGATAACGATTTGGTGTTGGGAAAACCAAATACTAGCAAATAAAAAATCATTTGTATTGAATTTGTGAACTGTTATAAAGTAATGTTGGGAACGTTTGGCGAGAAAAAATATCAACTAATGATACTGAATTTGAAGTAACAATCAATTATCTTGAAGAAACAAAGTCTACTGGAGTTGGCATTGAAAATTGACATAATGAAACCAAGTCATAGAAGTGGTAATGAAAAAATTATCAGATTTATCCAAAGTATTTGAGAAACATTCAGGATTGAAAAATATCTCATTCACTTGAAAAAATTGTCCTTTAAACAGTCCTATGAACAGTCCTGGGAAAAAAATTCGAAAGAACCCAAAATCTCATGGTTAAGATAACAACAAAAGTTCTATTAACATCAGTAGACTTTGTTTTACTTCCCTCAGGAAGTAAAACAAAGTTTCTGTTACCAATTTATAAAATTGGTAACAGAAGCGAGATAAACAATTATAGACCTGTCACCTTTGAAGATCAAAGCATCAACAATCAAGTTTATCTGGAGGGTTTGAGAAAAATATAAAGTCCAAAATAAAAAAAAATGAATTCCAGAATTGCATTCACTTGAAACTGTAGTCCTGTATATAATCCAGATTCATGAAAAATCAGCTGTAATTGCAATTTTTCATCTTACAAATCATATATATGAGTCTTTGAAAGGTAGCGATCCAAATGTTGGTGTTAATTCAACTTGGGCGAATCATGAGTGCTTACAGAAAAAACTTGAAGCCATTGTTTTTCAAAAAAGGGCTCAAAAATTGATGAAGTGAGACATTAGTGATCCCCTCATTTTTAAATATTGCGAACCTCAAGATAGTATCTTGGGACCTCTTTTACATATTTTTTTTTATAAAAAATATATTGAATAGAAGAGGTTTCAAGACACTGTAACATACTGTAGCTATAAGTATCACAATATTTTATTGAACTAACAATGTGAAGAACAATTCGATGCTTTTGGTTATGATATTGTAATATATCATAAGCAAGAGCGCAAATAATTTATCTTTGAAAAATGAATTGATTAAATAAACAAGTATCAGGAACTTTACATACATTCTACCAAAAATATATGTTATGAAGTCAGATGATATTAATATAATCAAATCCTTTTATTAATATGAAAATGAGGTGAAAGAATGGTTAATAACAACTGATAGATATTTCTTCCATAATTTGATAAGTGATGATTCATTTAAAAAATCGCATATTTCATTATAAATGTTTGTTTCTCAGATAATGTCTCTTTTTGAATTACTTACTTACGCAACTACGAAAGGTTTCCTTTGATTTATTCATCCAAATGAATGTTTTGATTGTAACGGATTGTGAAAATGTCGATAAAACATTGTACGATAGAACTGATAGAACTAACCTTGACTCAGAAAGCCCGCTTCAATGAGTCTGGCTTCCATTAGTAACTTCGGTATGAGCAAACAAAATGATATGGCGATATGGATGAAAGGGGCGGTAGGGCCCCCATATCTGAACAATCCACACCCAGCGCCGCTTTTCATTATCTCGGGAGGTTCCTTGCTGCACGTGCCCATTTGTCTCCCTAGCTTGTATCCATCGTTGGCCAAATTACCGACCTGTAAAGATAAAAAAATTATGACGCGTTTTCAAGAGTATGAAATGCATTGATACCACTATAAACTATCGCACGAGTCATCAATACATCATCACAATATCAATCAATATATATATCAATAACGGTTTGGGTTACGGTGTGCTTAGGACTAATGAGTTCTCATCTTTTAAAGTGTGATTCCTAACACAAGTTGAACGATAGCAAGCAGCCTGAGGCTTGATTTGAGTGAGTGAACAAAGCACCCACCTCGAAACAGTTAGGTTAGGTTAGGTCCAACCACAAGGGCTTATTGTGGCTGACACCTATTCACACTCGACCAAATAAACCCAGGCGAGGCCGGACGATAGATTTTCACTGCCTTTCGTCCAACCCGTGCTAGGAATTGCACGCTGGAAGGTAAGACCCCATTAATCCTCAGCTCGAACAAGTTTCGACTTCCAAAAGCAAAAATCTTTTTTATTGAAATAAACTATTTACACGCCTACATTTCATGAGTTTCTCTACCTTAAGGGAGAGTAGCAAAGTGACTCCAGACAGGCGCGTCCTCGCGTCCCCGCCGAGAGGAGGCGGTGGGGAACGCCCCCCGCGATGTTAGCGGGTTGATGCTCACCCAGAAACATAGACTTTATTAAAACGACTAGGTAATGTGCATCCTGCCGCCAAAGCTTATACACATCATTACATGGTTTTGACACAGTATACTATATTCAGTAATCCCACTTCGGGTGATTTTTGGTTTGAATTTCCTACACGCAGATCCAGGAGTTGCAGTGTCAGGTCTGCGCAAACGACGAGTTCAAGACAGGCGCGCAACCCTTCCATAGTTGTCGAATTTCTTGTGTTTCACCCAACCTACTGAAAAATTTGTTTGTTGAACACTACACAATTACTTTTTTACTTCTTCAAGTCCTAAATAGTACTACATAATTCAAAAAGAATAGGCTCTACAGATTCTTAAATCTTGAGTGATGAATTCGATTAGGAATATTTTTAATAATTGGCCCTTATTATAATCGAATCGGCAAACTCGTCCGCCATCTTGAATTCTCAAATCAATGAATTGATATGCTATATTTGGCCCCAAAGATCACTACAAAGAAATTTCGCATGGATTCGTACCATGGTTCATGAATAACAAAACTCATTCTTCATCTTGTCTTTTTTCTTGTTGAAATGAAAATATATTCTGTCACATCCGAATATGAACATCTGCCGAACCCATGAATGTTTAAAATCTACTTGAAACATAGTTCATCATTGTCCAAATGATCTGGGTTACTTCAATATTACACAAATGCAAAATTATCAGTTGTACAATTTTCTCAGGTTCCCAACGTGGTTTTCATCGACTGTATTTTTTTGAGCAGTTTATATGAATTTTTGAATCCACTTTATCTTTTACCTTTACTTTTGTTTTGAGAAGGTTATGTGAACCAATGGAAAGGTTCATATCACATTTTTACTTCATTGGGTGATGTATGAACGTTCATATTTATTTACATTGTAGGTCTCTCAAAAAGTGAATAAACCAGCCTTTAGTGTTTGATTTATTCAGAAAAGTTCATAAATGAAAAAAGTATGTCAGTTTGAAGAATCACTTCAAACATTTGTAAAAAAAATTGTATAAAAATAATGAAAGTCATAACCCAAATATGATTCAACACTAGACAGCGCTGTTTCATCCGCCACAGGTCTCATCAGTGATGCCAAAATGAACCATAAATGCATTACTGGACTCGGGTGTGGTTTTTCAATGTTGATTCTTCCAAAGCAGGGCAATTTCCCAAGCCGTTTTCTTTGATGTATCAACTATATATCAGCCATCAATGGTGAGAGTTCTGATTTCAATAATTCCACAATTTCTAATATATTCATGAATCATTTGTCTCTTCACAATCAGTTGGTTTCAATTATATAGAACAATCTTTCGATTTTATTCAATGAAATTTAAGGCTGTGAAAGACAGCTGATAGATTAGATTCAACATTTATCTCATACTTGAAGACTGGCTATGAATCAAATCATCTAAAGAAACAATTCAAGCCAGTCTCAACTCCCTACACTGGAGGTTAATGGACTGAAACTTATCAAAAAACAACTACTCCCCTGGATAATACCACGAAGGGCGTTGGATTATATCCGGGTGTCAGTGCACGATTCTTCACTGAATTCATTCCTGCACATGCTGTTGGCAATACAACTACCGCAATGGATTTTCAATTATTGGAACACACTTGCAGGCCGGTTTCGGGCTGTTTGGCCACTCGTCAGTGCAAGGTAGTGTCTATCATCAACATAAAGTCGATGATTTCCGATAATTGAAAATCGAATTCGTTCAGAGTATCATTCCTTGATCTAGGCTGAAGCGGACAACAAACAACATGTTTTGTCATCGCCTGTGAACGAGGTAACCATCAGCATATCCGAAATTTGCCAAATTCCTCTTATAAGGAAAAAAAATTTTCACATATAGTCAGTGAGCATACTTGAAAACTAGCTATAAATCAAATCATCATAATTTGTTCAGACCATTGTTCCTTCTGATGATTTGGTTCAACATTCATGAGATGACTGTTGAATTCTTTACGAATTTCTTGGTTTTTCTCAAATATTTTCCATTCACCGAAATTTATATCAGGTTGTCTGTATCACATCTGATTTCATTGTATAAAATTCAATGAATTAATTTCCATGCAAACATTTTAAAATTTTTCTTTATAATATTTTGCTTCGATTTAAATATATTTTTTAAATGATTCATTGACAGTTCTCCATTCGTTATAGGATTCATTGTAGTTTATATTTAAAAAATCGTTACTTGAACTTACAGGAAAGTATCTATCATCTATGGATACTCAAAATGTAATTTGAAATAAGTATGTTCTGACGTTTATAATGATAACTTTTTCAACTAGCTCGTAATGTTAAAAGTGAAAACTCAATAAGTAGAAATAAAAGGCGTATTCAATGAACTAAAACACAATGAGAACTTCATCCACCTGTCTGTAATATATCAAATCACAAATCTCTTCCGACTAATGTTTATGTATGTCCAAGTGATGTACTCTCACGTTCACCGTCAAGTTGTCCAAAGGAATTGTTAAAATCATGCGTAACTCATCTGTTGCATAAGCCGGAGTCACACCTTTTCGATTTTATCTCGTAAATCCTTTCATACTTCCTTTCAGCTGCTGGTAAATTCGCATGTACAAAATGCGTGTGAACACTTAGCAGCACGCATGTAAGCTGTTTGTGTATAATTGTCACTCTCACGAAATCTCAAATCGCTGCATTAGTGTCACAGGTGTTGATTATTCATTCAAAAACATGTTCAACTTCCAAAACTTGGCATGGAGGAATCAAACAGCTGGTGTGTAGTTGCATAAATTTCAGAAGTTGAAACAACGTAGGAGATGAGTCGACCATAGATTGGCCGTATCGCATGTACATGTACACTTATGGCTACATTGCCTAATTTATTTGGAGGTTCAATATACGTCTACTACAAGAACAGTAAACGACAATATGGTTTAAACTTTCGCGGCTGATGTTTTCAGTGTCATTATTTTTCGAGTTTGAAAGAAGTAGACATTTGAAATTTCATCCTGACATTTCGCTGGCGCGAGTGGCTAACTTCTTCAGAGGTTTAACCATCATGGCTTGCTGTCCGATGACAGTCATCGTACAACAAGCCATGATGGTTAGGCCATGATGGAGAACAGAAAACGTTTATATATTATGTGGCAGAAACTACCATACAGTTATAATGTATCTTATACTCTTTCACTGTTCATTACAACTGATTAGATATTATGCGAACTGTTGAATTAGCATGTTTGGCTGTATTACAGGCAGCCGCTCAGAGCAGCCATTATTTCCAATAAGCCTCTACTAGATTCTAAGGTATCCTAATGTGTTGAATTATTCAGCCTCTTCGTCAAATGTCTCAAAATCTCCAACATTCCTTCCATGCTCCAAACTATCGATGTTGTAAGTGATGTTCGTGTCTCCAATCAGACAAATGGATCTTTTCTGAATAGAATCTAGCAGCTTCAGGGAATGCCTGGGAGGGGCGGAGCTCCATACATGTGGACAATATTATAAAGAAGGTCTGATTAGAGCTTTATAAAGCATTAAAAGTTGCTGAGGTTTATACACTTTCCTGGTTCGGAACAGTGTTCCAAGCTATTGAAAAGCAGACATGGCAATTCCAGAGACATGATTTTACCAAAACGTTGGTGTCCATGTGTCCATTTTAACCCCCAACAAACTTATCGAAGCAGAAAGCAGACTTCTCCGTCCTGACATTATTATATCTGGTTCGAAGACATTCATTTTCTTGGAGAAAACCGATGCCTAGGTTTTTGTGGCATTGAATTGAACCTGGTTACTTTCACCCCAATTCGAAAGAAACTGTATATCCTCATCAAGATATACAACCCCCTGCTGCCGGTGAAGATGGGCATCCGCAGTCGACGTCTCGGAATCCAAATGGAATGACGAGATAAGTGTGCTGTCGTCAGCAGAGAAATAAATTGGATTCTTGGTTTTTTTCAATAAGTTGTTGATATAACAACAAAAAGAGGGTTAGAGACATTATGGATCCCTGGGGAACACCAGCGTTGATGATAAAAGTATTTGAGGGATATCTATCGACGCCCCCTTGCAAGGAACGTTCCTTTAGGAAGCTGGATAGCCATACACAAAAATGATTTGACAAGCTATAGCATCGAAGTTTGGCCAGTGAACTCTCATGCCACACACGGTCAAAGGCCTTAAAAATATCAAGCGTAACAGCGCAAGGAGTATTTCACAGTACCCATCAGTATCGTTCAGGGTATCTTTGATAGTTGAAGAGTTTCTTGCAAAATAGACCTCAACTTCATTCAAAGTTGATCTGAAAATGAAAAATTTACAAAATAAATAGCAAAATACCACTGTTTCATTACTTCATTCACAAAGAGGTAGCCCCAAAGGGAATCGGTTTGAATTTTTCATAGA